TCAAACACCATTAATTGGGTGAAGTTGGAAAACATTTTCTTTTTCCACCTAATTTTCTAGGCTATCAAACACACCCTTATAATTTTTTTTCCTTTAATGTACAATTTACATGGAAAACAAAGTCAAACGAACACCAAAAAATCCAAAATACAAATTAAACACAATTAATTGACAATTTTCAAAAAAATAATTATAGACAATTCAATTATCTGTAATTCATTTTCTTTTTACCGAAATTTCACTATTGCAATCAAACGGACCAAAGTTTTCCAAAGTAAGAACAACGGTTCGGACTGCCATGGGGAATAAAACGCAACAATTTTCTTAGCCCGCCAGTATTTCAAGGTTTTTAGGCGCCCTGAATAGAATCCCAATTCTTCACACAAAAGAAAATATGGTAATGCATTTTCTTCATTCTTCTGCGTTTTTTTGATTGTATTTTAATTTAATTTGGTTTATTTGATTTGATGTGCAGTTGTTCTTCTCGTACTTTAAGGATTTGGTGGGACGGGAAGTGACAGTTGAATTAAAGAACGATTTAGCCATACGGGGAACCCTTCATTCGGTGGATCAGTACCTGAACATTAAGCTCGAAAACACTAGAGTTTCTGATCAAGACAAGTACCCCCACATGGTATCTGATTCTCTCTCTTTTTTAGGGTTAGGGTTTAGAGTTTAATCCTAATATAATGATATCTGATTTTCTGTTTTAATTGCCTATAAAAAAATAAAATTGTTTACCAATTTCAGTTTAGTTGAATGTCTCGATAGCAAGTTGTTTTTCGTACTTGTCATAGCTCCTGGATAATCTCTGCGATGCTGAATTTTTGAAATTTGCGTGCCTTGTAAAGCCAAGGTGAAAAATATAGATCGTTACGAAATTCGAAGCAATGAAAAAGCGTTTGGGAGTGATTGTGGAAATGACTGTGAAGATGATGAAATTTGGATCTGATTTGTTTTAAATAAGTTGGTATCAAAAGTTCTTTTATTCTTGTGATTTTATCACATATGCATGGATGGTAAACCTTAATTTTAAATTTTTAGTTTAACAATTAAATGTTTAATCTTAAAAGATTCATTTGCTTCTGAATTAGCAAGGATAATTCTTCTGATCAAATTCTCCAGTGGGAAATATAGTTACATATTGGAATTCTATATATCCAAGACCATAGGAATGATTTTTAAGTTCTAACTGCTGATGCAAATCTATATTTTTTAAACAGCATAAAAGTTTTAAACATGATTGAAGTTTTTGGAATTTAAATGTTAAATTTAATATTTCTGTCCAATGGTGTTGTTCCGACAGTTCCATCACTTTTCTTTATGTTCGGTTTTGTTGAGCATAGTGAAATGTGTAGATATCACTGTCACTACTCCAAGCGCTCCCCTCCCCCAAGAAAAGTGCTCCCCGCAAGAGTGAGAGATAGATAGACTACTCAGAATTGCGTCATTCGAATATATTTTTATGTTCAGCTTTTCCATTCTTGGTATTTCTCGGGTATATTCCATTTTAAGATAAACATTGTGTGGTGGATTATCTCATCAGATTTCAATTAACTTCTGCTTGCAAACTGTGAATGATCAAATGAATTTAGGTCTTTCTGAAACCTCTCATAGTAATAGAATTTGCAAATACAGAATGGCTCTTAAATATAGAGCGTTGTCATATGCCTGCTCATTACCTATTTTTGGGCATGGAATTTACCTGTCCGCATGTCCAGTCACTTACAGCAAACTATTCTGAAATCGCTTTGAAGAAATCCATTTGTCAATCAAATGTATTTGTTCCTGATTCCTTAAAACTTGCTTTGAAAATGAAAAAAATAATGAAATAACATTTAAGAGTGTGTTGCAAGTTAGATTTCAAATAAGTTGTATCTATCTGGATTCTCTTGGTAGAAAAACCTTTCTTCTTTTTCTTCTCTGTTGTGGGTGGGGTTTATTGCACTCAAAAAGGCTGGGATCAAACTTGAGTGATGCTGCATAAGACATGGCGCCATTTTTTTAATTTTTTTGCAGCTTGCAGTTTTTCGATTAAGCCTACACCATCGCTCTTTCAGTCTGATACAAGTTTTTCCAAAATTCTGTGTGCATGTGTACTTTGGCTATAGATGTTGGAATTTTATGTTGATCATTTGTACTATGGCAGCTTTCTGTGAGGAACTGTTTCATCAGAGGATCAGTGGTGAGGTACGTCCAATTGCCACCAGACGGAGTTGATGTGGAACTTCTTCATGATGCCACAAGAAGAGAAGCTCGGGGTGGCTAATTTCAATCACTCATTCAACTATCACAAGAACGTTCTTTAGATTCATTTCCGTAGTGGATGCTTTGGAAAAAATTGGAATCTCTCTTCTCTTTATCATTAAGAAATGTTTTTATGAATGGTAGTTCATTATGTAGGATCATTTAGCTGTAATTAGACTCATTTGCAATTTCATGTATAAGTAACATGAAGAATTGTGACGTGGGAGTGAGACTTGGAATTTCAGGAAGGTTTTTACCTCTGGGTCAACTAGATATGGTACTCAACTTGCAAGATCTATTCAGGTATTTTAAAGAAAGCGAAAGTTTTCATGGGATGCTTGGTCTTGAAACAAAATTCAATTGAAGAAATGGTTGGGATGTCGCTTGAGCTTAGCTTTGTATGATGTTTCTTGACTATTTTTTCCCCTTATATTCTCCTCCATTCGTGTCTATTTGACGTTGAACCCATAGTCTACAACAAAAACTTATTTTTGAATAATGTTATTTGTACATAATCAATTATATAATGATTTATGTACAAATAAAGGGAGTGGAGAAGTTTTTTATATTTGGTTGAAGAAATTCTAATTCGATTAAATCTTATTATATCATGTGTACATAAATCATTATATAAATATATTATGTATATCTAACATAATAGTTTGTTTTTTTGGTTTATTAATCTTATAAATCTCAAATTGGAATACATAATTTCTTTCAATTGTATGTTTTCCGTTGGAATTCAAATTTTGTTTGGTCCTTTTTATTGACAAAACGTCATGATTATCACGACGTTGAATTTGTTAATGATAAAAACTTTTCACGAGAATCCAGGGAATGTATTGTATTGAAAATTATGAAATTAATATTTGAGATTTTCCTTTTTGGATTATTAGTTTAAATTTAAGGGCCAAATGCATATGGAAAATTTGTTATTATTTTGTTATGAAAATATGAAACCCCGATTGTAATGGCCACAAGGTGGAAGAAAATTTTCACAGATTTCTTGATCACGTTAATCGACCTGGTCATAAGATGGAAGAAAATTTTAACAGATTTCGAGATCACTTTCCACCAGATGCTGACGAACGTGTATGTAGGGATGAGATGAACACTGCAAAATTCATCATCCGAGAAATATGTATAACGATCACATGCATGCAAGAGAAAGTGCAGGCATGTTTGGGCATTTTGCACAACCTTATCATGGGACAAATACTAGGTTTCATAGTTATAGAGACGGGCATTATCCATTCAGGGACGACACGTACCTTCAGCCACCTAGGATGCCACCGCGTGCTTCATATGGGTTCGGTTCAGGAAGGCCAATGCCTGCATACGACGATTTCTTCACCTCATTCTGTGATGACAATGCAAGAAGCTGCTCAATAATGTAAAGCAGCTGAACAATGGTTGGAACTTCATTCTTGATACTCCCTGAATTTTCTTACTATGGACTTGAATACGCATTTTCTGGGACAGTCTAATTGGTGCTTTATCGTGTTTTTGGATCTCATTTCTACTTCATAAATATTATCTAGACTGAGAGTTTGCGTTAAATCGTATTGGTTCTGAACTTTGTCTTGCAGGATGTGAACTTAGGGTGAATGTCTCACACAGAATGAAAGTTTTCATCTTTATTTGGCATGCAACCCAGTAACAATATACATGCTTTTAGGATTAAAATACATATCTAGAAGCTTCAAGGCAAGCAAATTCAGCACGAACTTGACAATTATTTGTCGTAAACTTGTTCGGTGCTGACTTCATGCTCTACTTGACATACTTAACAAACCAATTCAGCATGTCGGTCTGGGCTTCTTCGGCAGATTTAACAGCCTTCTCGTCCTCCAAATTGTACCTCACAGTCCATCCATGAGCAACATCGAGAAATACTTTCACAAAGCTAGCAACCTATAGAGGAAAAAGAAGACTTGTCAATAGCGACTATAATACAACTCATTTGCCATTATAGTGAAACATATGGCTCGTGACTCGTGCTTTTGTGTTGATTCTTAATTAAATATGCTCATACCTCAGGTTTATATGACAAAATCTTCTCAAACTGTTTGACAAGCTCTGGAGGAGAATGAATGTCAGTCTCGGCTCCCAGAATAGCCATTGGAGCCTTAACCTCTGCAAAAACTGTTGGTTAGTGTCCATTAATTATTAGACACGCTTGAGGAAATATACTGTTCCTATGAGACCCAGATGATACTTTTGTCAATTCTTTCTCGTAGATATAAATCAGACCACATGCACGAGAAAATAAATCACTCATGATTTATGAATTCATTGTACGCCCCCGACTTTAGAAGCATTGGAGATCGAGGATTTTCTTGACTTTGAAGAATGTAGGAACGAATAAACAAGAAGATTCATATAATGAAAGTTTGGTATTTCTATCCACGAGCAAATCAACACAGAAAATTGAGCACCAATGCCCAAAACAAATATGCAACTTTTTTGTAAACAGAATCTTGTACCCTTGAAATCATCCACCGTAACAAATGATGGATGCAACAGCACTCCAGCTTGAATAAGGCCGTCCTTTGCTAGCTCCACTACGACCTTGGCTGATAATATTTGAGCAATCAGAATCACAAGACATTAGAAGCAATCTCCCATACTTCATTCACAACAAGCCACAAATTGCTCATAACAACAATAACAAGCTAAGCCTAATCCCAGTAAAGCTATCAAAAAGTTGTTCAAAGAAAAGGAAAAAAATGGATCTGACGGCAACTAGTGAAATCTCACCCCCATAGCAAAATCCAGCTGCACCAATTGCAGATATGCCTTTACTTTTTAGAGCTGAAATAACTAGCTTAGTATCTTCAAATGCTTTAGCCTGACAGTGACAAAATAAAGAACAAGATGTGCACACTGCTTAACGATGGATGAAGATAACCCGAAATTTAAATAGAAAAAAAAAAGTTTGATAATGAACACTCATAATGTTATAGTACTTATGAAACATGTTTGTTTGTTCAGGTCCAAAAAGTGGAAAAAATCTTAGGATTTATTTTTTGAAGCAAGGTTTAAGGAGGACTTGAGAGAGTAAACAAACTGGTTCGTGCAGTCCTTTCCAAACTGGAAGAGGCTTCTCAGAATTGGCAGGGTCAAATGGATCTCCATTGAAGAAATCAGGAACTACCACGTAGAAGCCCGTAGCTGCAACTTTGTCAGCAAGCTTCCTTCATGGTGAAATTGAATTCTAGAATCAGCCTAAAAAAAAGTACCCTCTAACACAAGGAGCATATTAAGAATGTTGAGTATTGAGTTCTTGATCCTTCAAACCACGCCAATGAAATAAAAAACAGTGAATGATTAAACATATAGACAGGGACATTCTAATGTATAATGTATTGCTCCTGAAAGCATTGAACAATTGATCAAAAGACTGTCCAAAGTTTAAACACAAAGCAAAAACATACTCCACATTCGGTCATGCTTTAAAAAGTTACTTTTTTTAGATAATGATTATTCTTAGGAAATATCATAAGAATGTAAATCAGAAAATACCTCAAGTTGGGTGCTTCATAACCTGCAGTACAAGTTCAAATTTCCATTTCACTCAAGTTCGTGAAAATCAAAAAAGAAATGAGAGAATTGAGAAGTTGATAAAATGAAAAATCACCGTAAACGTCAGAGGCGAGGATGACGGCGAGACTGGAATCGGAAGAGCCCGAAACGTACGATTTCAGGCCTCCAATTTCGAGTACCGACCCGACTCCGCTGCTCGGGCTCAGCGTCGGTGGATTCTCGCAGCACTGCGGGCCTGACATTGGGAGTGTCAAGTGTGTGGTTTCTATGACTCAGCTGACATTTTTTCCAGCATTTAATGGATACGTTCCTTAGCTACGTGATTTGGTGCGCAATTATTCCACGTTTATTTGATAAAAAGACCAACACACCCTTAGCCATTTTTTTTTTCTTTCTCAAACTCAATTTTAATCTCTCGTCTTTACAATAAAATATTTTACACTTAAATTAAATTTTTTTTCTCTTTTTAACTGCACATTTTCTAAAAAATAATTATTCCAAAATTTATTTTTCCCAAAAAATGCTTGTGAACTTGGTTTTAATTAGGAAATAATGGTAATTAGCACGTAACATTCTTACATTTCACTTTTATCGTGAAAAACATTCATATATTTCGTCTTTTATATTTTCATCCATTTTCTTGATTAGAAATTATGAAATGACGAATATACCATTCTATTTTTTTTAAAAAAAGAACTAATTTTAACCAAAGTCCCAACTTTTTTTAAAAAGTGCACAAGAGTCTCAAATAAATTATTAAAAGAGTAATTAGCACATAATGTCCATACATTTCACTGTTACGTGAAAACCATCCTTATTATTATTATTATTATTATTATTATTATTTTTTTGCATTTTCCCTCTTAATTACACATTTGATTGCATAAATCATTATTTATATCAATTTTCATCTAGTTTCTCAATAAAAAGACGTGAATGATCAATATACACTCCTATTTAAATAAAAAATTAAGAATTTATTACAATCATAGTCCCATTTTTTTAAAAAAGTGCAAACGAGTCTTAAATAAATTATTAAAAAATTAGAAATAAAAAATGCAAAGAGTCCCAAATAAGTTATTAAAAGATAGAAATTGGAAAATGCAAACAAGTCTCAAACAAATTATTGAAAAGTGATAAATTAAATTTATTTTTAAAAAAGTGCAAACAAGTTCAAAATTAAATTAATTTTTTTATTTGAAAATGGTGGTATGTTCGTCTTACGGTTTTTTATTGAGAAATTTGATGAAAATGAATAGAAATAACAGTTTGCGATATCAATTGTTTAATTAAGGGTGAAAATGTCATAAAATGAAAAGTATGACGTTTTTGACAATAATAGTAAAATGTATGGATATTATATGCTAATTATCATTTCATAATTTATTTGAAATTCATTTGTACTTTAAAAAAAAAAAAAGACTATTGTTGCAATTAGTTCTTTCCTTTTCCTTTTATTTTATTTAAATATAAGTGTATATTCATCATTTCACAACTTTCATTTGAGAAAATAAATTAAAATGATCTCTTGTGCAATGAAATGTAAAAATTAGGGTGAAAATATAAAAAAATAAAAGGTAATAATATTTTCCACAATAATAGTGAAAATTGTAGTTGGGTCTCTCACCTTCGCGAAAGGAGAAAATGGATCACCTACCTTTATATGTCTAATACTCGTCCGTCTCATATATTCGTTTCCATTTGTACACGGATTAAGAAAAATGTAATAATAATTACTATGAAAAATATAATTTTTTCCAATATATCCCTACATTAAATACTTGTTGGTGGGCCCTTGCTATTTTTTATTTTTATTTTTTGAATTCTTTTCTCACATTCGAATGTCTTTCTAGGCAATAACAATACAAAAATTGATTCTAAATTTGTAAAAATGAAAAATAGACAGCGCCTAAATAATTGTTAAAATATACATATTTCATGTAAGTTGATAATAAGATACGTTAGATAAAGGTATATTAAAAAAACTAAGAAATCAATTATACTATAAACAAGAAAAATAATCTAGAATTTGAGAAAGGTGATAAATGAAAGTAAGTTTATCTTTACAGAACGAAGAAAATAATATTTAATTTAACGTACTAAATATTTCAATTAAAATTCCTAACCAGCATATACAAGATAAACTATGGCTTTAAGTATATGTAATTTCTTTGTGACGTAAAAAAAAAAAAAATTGAATAAAAATTAGGTAAATTATAGCAAACGCTCCCAATCTTTTTATTCTTTTGTATTTTCGTCCCCAACCTTTTTATCAAATTAATAAATACAGTATCCTACTCATTCAGATCTCATTCATTATTATTTATGAATTTTAAAATGTATTTAGAGCAGTCAAGTCAAATTAATCAAAATCAGAAGAAAATTGCACAGATCAAAAGCCTCCGAATTTGACTTCCTCAGTCATTCGATGTACCTTCAATGGTACGTTGTTTGAAATGAGACCATTGCTCTCTCAGACTTTGAAGCACACAGTGGATTTCTTCATCAATTCAATCTGAATCCGTATGAAATTTTAAACGTAATTACGGATTTATACGCAGTTGGATCTTTATCTGGCCTAAAACAAATTTGAATTGAAATAATCATGGCGGCAGTACAGGTGGAGCAGCGGTTGTGGGACGGAGTTTTGGAGCTGACAAAGGCGGCTCAAGAGAAGGGCATGGACCCTCTGATGTGGGCCATGCAACTTTCTTCAAACCTGACCGCCGCCGGAATCTCCATGCCCTCCACCGAGGTTGCGGAGCTTCTTGTATCATACATTTGCTGGTCCAATAATGTCCCCATCGCCTGGAAATTCCTTGAAAAGGCCCTGACTATCCGTATAGTGCCACCTATGTTTGTTATTGCGCTTCTCTCCACTAGGTCCATGCTCATTTTTCCTAATTTGTTGATCATAATACACACCCTTGTGTATAATATATTAGCCTCCGTTTGGAAGATTTATAAATGGTTTAAAAAGAGGAATAGTTGTGAGTTCGACGAAATGTGTGGAAATTAATTTGTGGTAGTTATGAATGTGACTTTATATAAATCATTTATAAATTATTATCCAAATGGATGCTTAATGTGTATAGTTATTCATGTTGTCCAGGGTAATTGCCAATCGCAGGAGGTATCCGGTGGCATATAGGTTATACATGGAGCTTCTTAAGAGATATGCTTTTTCGTTGCCATCTCTAACTAATGGACCGAACTATCAAAAGTAAGATTTGTTGTATTTCTTAGCCCTGTTTGATAGGGATTAAAATCAGATTTTTAATAGATTTTGATAAAAGTTGATAAAATATGTGGTTGAAAATTTATGAGATCCATGAATTATGCGGTTAAAATTAATTCAATTGTTAACTTTAATTTAGATTAAATTTTGGATTTTAATCCCTACCAAAGAGGGGCTTAATTTTGTGATTGAATTATTACAGTTTGATAGATAGTTTCAACTCCCAGTTATCTGTATATTTGATGCTTTATGTGTTGTGTACTGGTTTTACTCTTTCTTTGTGTCCATTGCATATTGGCCTGGAATGGCATTTCAACTATTATCAACTGTTGAAGCCTTAGAGGATTTATTTTGGTTTAGAATATAGCCGAAATCCGAAAAATAGAAAAATAACCAAGGAAAAACACTATCTGGGATAGTATGAATTGTCGAAGCAGTGTCTATGCGTTGCACTGACATTTGTGGAAGCAAATTAAGTTTTCATTTTCAATTAACACGTGATTCTTTGATATATGTCTGAAAGAGTTATAGATCAATTAGAGTATTGGGGCATAAATCACAATTTTGGGCTTTTCCTGCTTCACAATTGAAGGCTTTCTGTGACACTATGAAGCTTGTCAGACTTTTACTCTTGGTCACTTCCCTTCCACCTCTCCATCTGCTGATTATAATTTGGATGCAGATCTGAATAAAGATGTAGTTTTTTTTTTTCTCTTTCTGGAGAAAACTGCTCTAGCATACCCTTTTTCATTGCCACCAAAATGATGCTGAATTAATGAAAATTTCCAGGATGATGTACCACATAGTCTCTTACCTTTTAAACTTCAATAGTTCTACCATCAGAAACTCTTCCCCAATATGTTTGATTTCATTAGTTGAAACACTTAAATTCTTTCAAGTGTATTTTTGAAATACATATTTTCATAGACATTAGTGATGGCTGTAAAATATTGTTTCAACAAAAATGTGTGCAACTATTTATTTTTGTTTTAATTGCCGAGTTTTATTTGTTCAGTAACTGAACAATCTCATAACAGTACTGATAATTGCCAACTTGCTTCATTTCTAACTTCGACTATCCAATTGCAGGATTATGGAATCCATAAATGTTGTCCTTCATTATTCCCAGATATTCGAAATTCAGTCATCCGAACCTGGGCTCCTTGTTGTTGAGTTTATATTTTCCATTGTATGGGAGCTACTTGATGCATCGCTTGATGATGAAGGTTTGCTAGAACTCACTTCTGAGAAGAAATCTAGGTGGCTTACCAGGAGTCAAGACATGGAAATAGACAATCTTGATAGCTTTGATGGGAAGAGAATAGAACGCCAAGACGCTATGCATAAAATGAATACTATAACGGCTCTTGAAATAATTGGTGAATTTTTTCGGAATAAAGTAACTTCCCGGATACTCTATTTGGCTCGTCGAAACATGTAAAAATCTCGTTTCTGTTTGTGTTCACCTTAAAGTTCTTGGATTGTTCTCTGCTGAATGTGTCTTGAGTAAATACTTAGAACATCTCCGAGAGGTTCTTTATTAACTTCACTCTTTATTCTGGAGAGTCAATCCTCTTTTTGAAACTCTCAATATCTAAAAGTTAAAAATAAAGAGTGGATTTGACCCTACATAGAGCTATACCCACTCTCTATATACTACTTTTAATTCTTTCATTTATTGTTTTACTTTACGCATCATTATCATTATATATTAATTGATTTTTTAATATTTTACTCCTTTTATTGGCAGCTCTTTGGTTTTTGCAGAAAATTTTTCCCCTTTCAGCCATAATTTCTTATGGGAAAAAGTAAAATAAAAATAAATATTGTATTTTTGGACTTGTATAAAAAGTCTCTTTTCTTTATTTTTTTCAAAAACCTTGAAGTTACTCTATGTTAATGGAAAATATGCTCTTCAAAATAAAGAGACATTCTTAGTAGCTTCTTGAGATTCACATTACAGAATATGGCTGTTGAACTTTTGCATGGTTAAAAATTGCAATTAAAACATGTGTTTCTATGTTTTCTTTTAGGCCTGCGCATTGGGAGTACTTTATTCGGAATTTGCGACTGCTTGCTTCTAATTCGTCATCTTTAAGAAACTCGAAACATATTTCTCCGGAGGCCCTCTTGCAGTTAACAGCTGATACACGTCAACTCCTATCTCGTAAATGCAAAACAAGTTTACAGCAACAGTTTCATGCTGTAACAACTGAAACTCCTGTGTCTTCCTCTGGGCAGTGTCATGGTGTTGGCCGTTCGGCGCTCTGGCTTACTATAGATCTTTATCTTGAAGACACAATGGATGGATCACAAGTGGCAGCTACCAGTGCTGCTGAAACTCTTACAGGTATAATTGTCATAAAATTATGGTTTTACTATTTATACATGCTATTTAGAGCATGATTGGCAAAACTTAATTATAATAAGCTGATCAAACATACTTTTATTCACACTCCCCCAACTTACGACACTTATTATTCACACATATGTAAGACCCACAACTTATAAGTACTACCAAACGAGCACTTATTATTTTGACATAGTTTCACTGATACAAATGAGTATTGCAGGTTTAGTAAAGGCTCTCCAGGCATTAAATCAGACCACCTGGCAGGATGCATTTCTTGGTTTGTGGATTGCTGCTCTACGTCTTGTTCAAAGGGTAAGAGCTCATGCAAAAAGAATCAATGTAAAACTTGTTTTCCAAATTTAAAATTTAAGATCAAGCGTTCCATCTTTTTAATTCCTTTGGGATTGAGAAATGGACCTGTTATATGATGTGATTGCATTGAATTCTAGGAATAAGGGTGGAAAACTGTGTTATTTCCCTGATTCCTTCCATGTTTTCCAGAGGCTGACCAATACTGTACTTGGAAAATTTCTCGTTCCTGAATAAAAAGAAACTGAGAAATTTGTTATAGGAGTTATTATATATTTTTAGTCCCGTGCAAGGAGCTATCACATATTTTTTTTAGGCCATTGCTAGTATAATCAAAGTCCTTTAGGACTCAATAGTTTGGCTTATTCACATGTTTTGGCAGCAGATCCAATCTCATTCGATATACGATCTGCTGATACACTTTGATATGTTACTGAGAGTGACCTGATGAAAATTCTAATTAATTCACATTCAATATAGATGTCATAGGAAGCTTTGCTTCTCTAGAAATTCATTTTTGAACTATCCAGTAATGTGATGTATTGCTTTTGGATCTGTTCAGGAAAGGAATTCAAGCGAAGGTCCAGTTCCTAGGCTTGATACTTGTCTGTGCATGTTATTGTCTATTACGACTCTTGCAGTTGTCAATATTATTGAAGAGGACGAGATTTCTTTGATCAGTGAAGCTGAACGAAGTTCCATTAGTCAAAGGAAAGATGTACAGTCCGTGGGAAAGCGTCGGCAAGACCTATTTTCCAGCTTGCAGCAGTTGGATGATTTTGAAGGCTTGCTGATTCCACCACCTCCTGTAAGTTCATTGGCTAATCAAGCTGCTGCTAAAGCAATGGTGTTCCTTTCAGGCCTAACAGTAAGCGGTGGACACCTTGATGGCATGAGTTTGAATGACATGCCTGTGAATTGTTGTGAGTGATCTCCTCAATCCTCATTATCTGCATGAACGTAATAATGATTTTATTTTTTAATTATTTTATCTGGAACAACTTGAATGCTACTTTTCGCAAATTTCTAGTTTCTAAATGCGTTTATTTTGGAAGTTATTCAGGCATTTCTTTTTTTAACCTGAGATGATTACACTTGCTAGGGGATTTGAGAGTGCAATCCTCTGTTTTGAGTAAATTCTACCCAGCCATTCCTAAAATTGTGCAATATTTTTTCGGTTGTGAAGTAAAGAAAAAGGGAAATTAATTCCCTCTCTTTTTCTTGTTAATAGCCTTTGACTTTAGTTATCAACTCCTTAATACGGATCCAATTTGTCTTACCTGTGTCTTCATTTCCTCTTTCTACCTCCATATATACAAATATTATTTTCCACTGCTATTGATGTCTTTTTTGACAAGTCTTTTCCATTATAACCTGGAGAGAAGGGTTGAGGGTGGGTGTGGTGCAATGGCGTATTTGTTCTCATATTGATTGATAACTTCCTCAAGGTTAATTGGTTGCTTGTAATTTCTTATAACCATTTACAGCTGGAAACCTGCGGCATCTGATTGTTGAGGCTTGCATTGCTAGAAATGTGTTGGATACATCAGCTTATATGTGGCCCGGATATGTAAAAGGTCGTTGCAACCAAGTTCCTCGAAGCGTTTCTGGACAGATGCCTGGTTGGTCATCATTAATGAAAGGGTCACCTTTAACTCCTCCAATGGTCAGTGCCTTGGTATCAACTCCGGCTTCTAGGTATGAAGGCTTTTGTAACTTCAAAATTTTTTGTGACAGTTCACTGGCTTCTAGTATGATATATTGCCTCAGAGGTAAAACAGCTTTCCAATGATTGACCTACTTATGGTTCTAGGTTTGCATTATTGGTGTAATCCCATAACACACTGGCCTGTCTTGCAAGAGAAAATAGCATTTTATGGAATGAGATATGGAATGGGGAGTTATTTAATGCCTGTTTAAAAGAAATGGAAGGTTGAAAGGCCGTTTTGGTTACTGATATTACCATGTAGCTGAAATCCTTTAAATTCATTGGTAAAAGCAACCTATGTCCTGGATATAAATCCTTTAACCCTGAAATGAACTTGTTTTGATGAGTATGGCATAACATCATTGTGATAATTCGTTCCTAAGGGACAGATGATAAGCAGTAAAATGTTAGGTAAAAATTGTGTAATTAATCCTTGTCATCAATTATATTTCTCAACCATGCCTAGCTAGAACGTTAGATCTATTTCCTGAAGCCAAGTGTATCAGAATTTTTTTTTTTCCTGTTAATTTACCCAGTGGTAAGGCTACTGATTTTAAGCTCATGATTTGATGGAAGCTTGGCAGAATTAGAGAAAATGTATGAGATTGCCATCACAGGTTCGGATGATGAGAAGATGTCTGCTGCTACAATATTCTGCGGGGCTTCTCTAACTCGTGGTTGGAATATACAGGCAATGCATTATATTTTTCGACTT